CATATTCATAGAGTATTAAAATGGTATGCTAACAGACCTTTTAACATCTAGGAGATTACAAATGAGAGTGACTGCCTTGACATAAACCGAAGCATAACTACAAAGAAAATTTTATGAGGAAAGTCCCTCCAAAAGGGACTCATAGTTCTTATATTTGTATTCCTATAAGATTATAAGCTACTTGCCACAGTTTTAATCACCTCTCTCCCTTCAAAACAGAGAGATGAGAGCAGTTGTCACTAGAAATTCAAGAGAAGATCCTGCTTCTGAATTCAGCTGATAAAATCAGCATATTCTCCAAGGGAATATAGACCTGTTAACTAGTTCTGCCCTACCCTTGATAAATTCACTTGTTCATGATCTTTTCTGTTTTCCTGTAGAGTAGCTGGAACTTTTCCTGGAGCACATTGTCTTATAAAATCACTCAAAAAACATGCCTTCGCAGGTAACATAAACGTAAGAAAGTGAACTCTTTCCTTACTTAAGAAGTTTCCTGTAATAATGGGGACATTAAATTGTGGTAATTTCAGAATCTTTAGAAAGGACCTGCAAAGAAATTCAGTAATTTATTTCTCATTTGCCACTGTTTTTTTGAGACAGAGTCTTGCTCTGTCGCCCAGGCTGGAGTACAGTGGCATGATCTCAGCTCACTGCAACCTCTGCTGCCTGGGTTCAAGCAATTCGCCTGCCTCAGCCTCCCAAGTAGCTGGGTCTACAAGCATGTGCCACCATGCCTGGCTAATTTTTGTATTTTTAGTAGAGGTGGGGTTTCGCCATGTGGGCCAGGCTAGTCTCAAACTCCTGACCTCAGGTGATCTATCTGCCTGGGCCTCCCAATGTGCTGGGATTACAGGTGTGAGCCACTGCACCTGGCTTTGATTTGCCATTGTTATATGTTTGATTTCAGTAAATGTGGAAAAATTTCAGGTCTTTTCCAACTTGTGGATTAACACATGGCCAAGAATCTGAAATCAGGCACAAATGCTTTTAAGAAAAAGGTTTTTGTCTTCTGTTTTGAGACTTTGTGAGAATTTGTTGTTTAGGACATTGGTGTTCATTGTGTACCAATGAAACAAAATGTGGTACCAAGACATTTGTATCTAACAAATCAAATATCAAATCTAAATATTCTCTGCTAGGATGAAAACAAACTAGAGTGGATAAAGGGTGAGTATCTGTATTAAGTTCATTTGCTACTTGCAGGTCTCCAGTGTAGGCTGTTTGAGAAAAAGTCTTAAGTGACTTTTGTTCCAAGGCCCATGATAAGGAGAATAACAGAAGGAAACAGTTCAATAGATATAAATGCATGCTAAAAAGCCAGTGAAAAAATTTCCATGCTTCAGAGCATTTTATTATTTTATGTATTTTTAATTTATTTGAAAACTATTCATTAATAATTCTCATGTTCATAAACCTCCTTTGTTTATCTTTCACTATAGAAAAGAGGAGGAGGTGAAAGGAAGGGGAAGGCAATTAACATTGATTTAACATCTACTACATATAATCATTTTAAGTAAGTGAATTTACCATTTTAATATAGTAAAAACAAAATCTCACGTAAAGAATGAGTAAAGCAGCCTGTTCTTGGCACTGGTTGTATTGGTATTGGCCTTTGGCGATGAGATGCTATTATATCTGCTGACACATGCTGCTTTTCTGAAGTCATTCTTGCCCTACTGAAGGTTTTTGGTTTCTTTATCTAGATTCATTTATCATCAATCACCAGGGACTATGCTGGACACTGAGGATGCAAAGATAATAAATTCATCTCTTCTCTTTGAATTTCTTAGTCATAATCAAAATTTCTTTTTCTGTGGTACACATGAATGAAAAAGAAACAAGCTTCTTTCTTTTCTCTTGCTGACTGATCATTTTTATGATCACTCACACTTTCCTAGAAAAGCGAGAAGAAAACTTGCTTTAAGATCAGAGTTTAGGCTCTGAGACACATTATAGCCTCTCTAATAAATTAACATTCTCTTTAGGAAATACTCTCTTGGGATCAATGCCCTGTTTTTCAGATTTTCTAATTGTCTCCATTATTTTCTCCAAGAAGACATCTGAACATATAGGAATTTACATGATCTTGTAATTCTGGGGTGCAGTGGAGTCCCCTGGCTTAACACAGTGCTTAGGTACAGGCTGGCTGGGCTTATTGAAATGGGTTTTTTCAAGGATATTATGAGGCTTCCTCCCACAGAGGCCTGTAGCTGGTCTAGCTTATATTGTTACCTCTTGACTTGGTCGGGGCTCAGTGGTATTTCTTGCTGACTAAGTCTCAACGCAGCCCTCACTGACCCTGCCAACTCTCTGTGGTCTGGATTCAGAGACCCACCTGGCTCTCCTTTTGTTGGAGAGAGGCCGTCGTTGTGCCTTTGTTGTCATGACAATGCCTCTTTCAAGTTCACCAGCTGAACTCTCAAGAACCTTGGAGTCTCTTCTTGGGAGAATGAGAGAACAACAGAGCAAAGAGAATTCTAACCAAAGATCTCTCTCTGTCTACAACATCCCCACTCCAGGTTATTGTGGGGACAATGTATGAGGCAATTTCCTCCCAGAGTTCTGACCAGGAAATGGAGTTGACATCCTTGTGCTTTGGGCTTTTTTCCCAGCCTGTTTCACATGCCTCCTTTCTAGATCTTAGGCCAAGAGAGAGAAGAACACACATCTGAGCACCTGCTCCTCCTGCCTTATTCTTTTTTATTCTCCAAATCCTCTGACATGGAAAGAGCTTTCTCTTCCTTTCCCCTTTGCTTTAATAATCCCTTGAATGATATACTCTTCTAATTTTGTGGGTGGCATTCCACCTTTTCTGTCTTTATGGTTAAAATATAGGAGGGTGCAAGGAGAGAGAAATAGTGACCATAATTCAGGAAGTATTTCCATATGGTTATACCTATCACATAAGGAAATGTTTATTAGTTATTCCTTATTAGTCACAGAGTCAATAAAGAAAATCAGATGATTTATTTTTTGTTTGGCCCTTTTATAGTGGTTGCGTTTTGTTTTGTTTTAGTGTTTTGAAATGGGATACTAGTTCAGATTTCACATATATGCTGGAGGTCCTTGCTACTCAGTGTGCTCCATGGGCCCAGCACGGTGGCTCATGCCTATAATCACAGCACGTTGGGAGGCCGTGGCGGGTGGATCACGAGGTCAGGAGATCGAGACCATCCTGGCTAACACGGTGAAACTCCATCTCTAGTAAAAATACAAAAAATTAGCTGGATGTGGTGGTGGGCGCCTGTAGTCCCAGCTACTCAGGAGGCTGAGGCAGGAGAATGGCGTGAACCCGGGAGGCGGAGCTTGCAGTGAGCCGAGATCAAGCCACTGCACTCCAGCCTGGGCGACAGAGCGAGACTCCGTCTCAAAAAAAAAAAAAAAAAAAAGTGTGGTCCATGGACCATCAGTGTTGCCAACACTTGTTAGAAATGAAGAATCTCAAGCCCCACCCTAGAACAGTTACTGAATCAATATCTTCTTTTTAACAAGATGATCAGTTGCACTGTATGCACGTTTTAGTTTCAGAAACACTGCTCTAGGCCACCATAGCCTTACTAAAGGTTTTAAGTATATCAACTATACCCATCATTGGCATTCAGTAAAAATTGATTAATAAACTCCACATGTTAGCCAGTGTTGATCCTTGCCCTTAGGTGCTTGTAGTTCTAATCAGGGATCTTTATAATTATGATAAAGTAATTAAAATAAAATAGACAATCCTAGATCTATTCCCCCTCACCCCCATCACCAGGCACACCTTAAATTTTTTGACAGATCTATTAAGATTAAATTACAAGTTATTAAAAGTGGATTTATATTTTCATGGAAAGCAGTCATTTAATGTACAGAGAAAGGAACAGGTAGTAATAAAATACTCAACTGAAAAATTCAGATTCGTACCTGAGGCTGCTGCCTCATTAGTACTGATAGGGTTTTGCTCAGTTACAATTTGACAAGACTGTAGGATTTCTTTTAGTGGGATGATTTTGGGGATAAAGGACAAAGTTATAGTTTTTCATTCTGTACTTTCATTTTCAGATCACAGTGTTTTAGAAGAATCTGGGCTTTACTTATTCACCAGGCTTTCAATAGAGAATCACATTAATCCTTTTAAGCTCCTTATTCTAATGATTTATTTTGTTGAAAACCATAGTGATCCTCCTTTGAATTTTAATGATTGCTGGCTATTCAAAGATTCATTGTTTTGACTTCCTGTCCTTACCTTTGTTTCCTACATGTCTGTGGGGAACACCTGTCTAATACTGGATCCGCCACTGGTTCTCACTGGCTTACCAGAGTCACTCAAGCCTATCTCTGAGTGTTAAACTGAAATGCTGACTACTCATCCATAACAATAAATGTAGGATATGTGTTCGCAGAGATAGGCAGATAGACAGCAGAGGGACAGATAAATGATTGAGAGATTTCCCAGTGAAAATAATATTTTGGATCTGATAGTATATATCAATATATTTGGATCTGATAGTGATCATTATAGAGAAATTAGTTAAATTGTTATTCTTAATCATAAATCTGTTAGATGTAATACCCATAGAAAATCTAGTAGAGGGGAAAGGGGTTCAAATTTTGAGGGTGCTGTTCTTACCCCAAATTTGGGACCATGTAACCTTCTACAAGTCACTGACTCTGTATTTCCCAGTCTATTAAATGGCAGGGCTCTTTTTTAAGGATGCGGTGGTGATCATTTTGTTCAAGTGCTGCAAATCCTCAGAAAGGGTTAGAAAATGGAAATAGCCATAACATGTCTCAGATATGAGCACTGGAATTGCATATTATGTTTTCACAATCTAAGAGGTGGCTGTGTCGCAGGTTTGAGTTTCTATTTTGCCCACTGTGTAACAACATAGAAATTTTCTCTTCTCTTTTTGTAGATATCACTAGGAACATCATGGGTTTTCAAGAATATATTATTCTAATATGAGATTTTAACAACTACACTGTATTTATGTGTACTACATTTTATGCCTTATCTTCAGGCTTCTGGACTTTGATTCAGAATATCAGGAGCTCTGGGATTGGCTGATTGACATGGAGTCCCTTGTGATGGACAGCCACGACCTGATGATGTCAGAGGAGCAGCAGCAGCATCTTTACAAGGTTAGAGCTACCCTTCCTGCCTTTACCTTGCTGTGGAAGATCTGATTAGCCTGACAAGTCTCTCTGTCTCTCAGGATATCTTTTCGTTCATTGTATGTATCATGGTGTCTATTAGAATTCCCTTCCCTGTCCCCAAACTCATTTCCATCCCTTGTGTGCTGACAGGCTGCACCGACATCATAATTGCAAGAAAGTTCCCTTTATCACATTCTATTTGCTGTAATTCTATAGAAGGACAAAGATTTATCTTCAAGATGAATAGCAGTAAATGAAACTGCATTCATAAATAGACTGAAACAAAATGAAGGATAAATGGACTAGTAACATTTAACAAAACGTGGTACGATTGGAGCACTCAGGTGGATTCTATCTACCCCTCAGATCTTCCCAGGGAAAAAAGAAATTTGCCTTTGGTTTGGCTTGCTGCTGCCAAATTACAGCGTTCATCCAATTTAATGTTTATTAGTGATACATAGAGCAGACGTTGTCGTATTACGTCAATACATTTCCATGTGATTTAAGAAAACTGGCTTGAAACTCATGTATTGATTGCAGGCAATCCATCTAATAACTATCTATATTGTTTTCCATGTCTGCTAATCCACCCTGAACCTACTGTATTTTACCAATTCTACTTAAATAGTCTTAGCAGTTAAAAACCAATCATGTGATTTTGCCTTAAAAAAATGGATGCAGGATTCACAGTATCTGAAAAAGCTGTCAGGGGGAGGGAAGAGGGACTTTCCACTGAAATATCAGACTGCAGTAAATCTTCCTCATTTAGGCAATTTTTATTGGAGTAATTCTGACAGTTGTCATCCTTGAATTGCTTTGAGCATATGGCATATTTCAAAGAGCAGATTGTGAATCATAAAAAATAAAATTAATAACTAACCACAGAATCAGCAACAGTATAATGACAAGAAACAACTACCCTCTAGTTTTTAAAATTTCTTATAGAATAAGAAGTACATTCAAGGTCAAATAAAAGTTGCCTTCTTTCTTCTTCAATGTTATCATTTTAAATTACCGTTCATTAATAAATTATTTTAACTTTTAGCTCCCCTAAAGAGAGATATTTGTACTTTTCAAGAGTCTGGTTGACTTTAATTAGTGTCCCCTAGGAATCATCTCAGTTAAGAGAAGATATAAGCTCCCCAGGGACCCAGCAAATGGGGACATTTTATTCTCTAAAGAATTCAGTCCAACATTAATTGAGTTTGTTGACTGTTAGCTGTTTCCTGGATGGATAGCTGTCCACATTAACAACACAGCTATCTAATATATCTTCTGGCATAACATATTGTTACGGTAACAGTCTCAACCGAATTTAGCTAAAACTAGATGACTTCACATTTCACATCAGGATCAGGAATTGCATATGAAAACGTGTATAAATCTATATTAATTTAGTGATAGAAAAATATTTTATCCCTAAGACTTAAGTATTAAAAATTGAGCCAAACGGGAAAAATATAAAAGGTTACCTAACCATAAGCCATTATCTCGGACTTTATTGCACTCATGGTGCCAAATAACATTTCTTTTCTTCTTGATGCATTTTGTATTTTGCACATAAGCCACTATTTTTTCAGAAACAGTGCTATTCTTTGTCAAAATCACATTCATATAATTTACATCACAATTAATAGGAAATCATTGAACAAAAATGCAGTCTTCTTTTTCTTGCGGTTTCCTTATAAGTGCTTTGCCTGAAAATTCCCATTCTGGCATATCGAAGACCATTATTCCACCCACTCAGAACTTCTGGGTTATAGTATTTTTCCAAACATTTTCTGTACTGTGATTTTTCATTTGTGACTCACGTCCTGTCACCATTCTTCTGCTTTTAGGTGCTTAACATAGCTCTGCTCATTAGACCAGCACTAACTTTGCATTTGGCTTATAAGCAAAATTAAAGATTGAGTTAGAAACCAGTAGAAAATGCTGCAAGTCTGTAGGGTCTTTCTTTATGTGCGCTCCCAAATTATTCCGGAGGCTTGGAAGCCTCCAGAATAATCCTGAGGATATTGACTGAGGAGTCATGTAGAACTTCAGGTGGCTCCTAAATTAGAAAAACTGGTGAGAAGAATTAATTTCATGTCTTCCCAGGAATCCTCAGGGATTTCCAGGTTAGGTCAATATTTTCAATATCCTATTCCTCTATTCTAATCTGTTTTTCCAGGAATCAACTGAACTGATGCCTTGAGAAAGGGGTATTTATGGTCTGTTGATCATAGAGATACCTGAAGGAATAAAGCTCTTCAATTGGTGCCCAGGCCTTGCTAGGTTTTAAATACAATTTGAGACTACCTTATTTATCTCTAATCTTTTTATTTGTTGACCCCAAAAGATACCAGTGCTTTATCAAGATTTTTTATTAAGGGCACCATTGACATTTAGGGCAAAACATTTTTTTTTTTTTTTCAGTTTGTGGGCCTGTCTTTAACACTACAGAACATTTACTCTTCATGTTCCCCAGTCATTGTGACAACTCAAGACTTCCCAACCCATTTTACAGCATTTCCCAGTCAATCTCAACATATCTATACCATCTTTGTTTTTTAAAATACTTATATAACACCAAGGAAAATGCCTTAAACTTGTACTGTATACATTATTGAACAAACACCTTATATAGCTGATATTGAACCAACAGTTGTGAGTTTAAAACTCAAGGATGAAAATGAAGCTCATCATCCCTGGTATTAATGAAAAGGATGAAGTGAAACTTTTAAGGGAGATCTTCAGCCAACTGATGGCAAAAATCCTAGGAAACTACAGAGCAGGACTGAATCTTTATTCCTTCTATTAGAGCATTTAAAACCTTTGTTCTTCTCTCCATCGGTGGCTCTCTGTGTTTCATCACTCAACTCCTTTCCTGGAGTATTTATGCCCAAACCCTGACTCATGCACTTACAGAGTCCTAGGTTGATCCCCAAGGTATGCATTTATAAATGTCAGGTTAGATAAAATCTAGTAAGATGCTAGTCAGTGAGAGTGAAGCTTATTTAGCTTTTTCAACATTATGCATTACCTTCCTGACTTTACCTATATATTTTTATATCCTGGTCTCCACTAGAAAATCAGCTAGCTTTACCTCCTAAATATGAAACTACAGATTGTATGAAATACAGAAACCCTAGATTATCCACTCAGCAGATATCCTGAGTAGAGCATCTATTGTGATATTTAGGCTATCCAAAGCCAGCAAAACATACAAGGAATTTATAAAGACAAATAATTGGATTTAATGGGCAAAGACTACATTAGTACAACTTGACATAATTCAGAAACCTTAAGCTATAAAGTGGACTTTCTATTTAAACTATTTCTTGTTATTTTTATATTGTTAGAAATTTAAGACCATTTTTTGAGTTAATTTTAAACTGCAGTCTCAAGCAACCTAATTCCTATTAAAAACTAACCATCCCCTTAAATCTACTTCTTTGTTTTGAGACAGTGAGTTATACTGCCAATGACTTCCCTTCCCCCTTATCTGTCTTGCTTTACCTCTGAATAGGAGCCTTCTATATCTATTTTCTAACAAACATTGTCAATATCGTCAGCCTAGAAAACACCAATGTAGTCTTTTCTCATTTTTTCTTCCTCAACCTGAGAATTACCTCGAAGAAAAATTTGCACCCACTCTCTCACTTTCTTTCTCTTCATTCCTCCTATCTTCCTAAGTAGGACAATTTAATTTGTCAAAAGTAACCACTATGATTTTGAAAGTTCAGCTCCTATTTGGACTAGAGTTACGATGCCAGAATTCATAATCACAGGGAGCTGTCACTCTGCTGGTCTGCATGTGCATTAACTATTAATGGAGAAATATTTAAAACCCACTTGTGAAGGAAAAGCTCCATTTTTTCATTTCTACAGATCAAAGGTGGCATTATTCTTAGGCTTGGGGAAGCTCACGACACCTCCTCCCCCATCCTCTAAGTGTTATAGACTGAGTGACCTAGAAGCATTTCAACGATTGGAGAGTTGTAGCTCAGACTGCTGCTGTTGCTGCTGCACTGTCCTCCCCAGCAGCTACAGCTGACTTTGTAGTATGGAGAGGGTGTACCCTATCAGGGACTCCTTACCTATGCACAAAGGACTGCCAGTTTGCTGCTACCTACAGAGCACAGATGACAGACCTCCTAGTGATGCTATGTTAGTATGGAGTTCCAGACTCCAAGGGTTAATTTGAAGGGCCAAATTCAGAAGTTGCAGCCCGGTGATTATTGTTATAATTGAACACGAGTTTTCAGATAGTATGAAGCTCACTGAAACACCCCACTTATAGATTTGTTCCTTGAATGATAGCTTACCTGCTTCTCATCAATAAAATATTAGATTACAGTCATGGGCCGCATAACAAGATTTTTGGCCTATGATGGACTACATATGCAATGGTTGTCCCATAAGGTTATAATACTATATTCTTACTGTACTTTTTCTATGTTTAGGTACACAAATACTTACCATTGTGTTACAGTTGCCTACAGTATTCAGTATAGTGACATGCTGTCCAGGTTTGTAGCCTAGGAACAATAGGTTCTACCATATAGCCAAGATGTGTAGTAGTCTCTACCATCTACTGTATCATCTAGGTTTATCTAAGTACACTCTAGGATGTTCATACAGTGACAAAATCATGAAACACTGATTGGAAAGAGAGCAGAAAGTGAGGTGGGGAGAAAAGGAGAGATTATAGCAGGGATATACATTTCTCAGAACATATCCCCGTTGTCAAGCAACATGATTTGTACATGATTTATAAAGGGTTAAAAATAACTCTCCCAGCTTAAAATACTACTAAATAAGTATCCAATTCAACTAAGACCCTTGTACTTTCAGATAATTTATACTAAAGATTTTGTACTTAATTTTGAAGGTTAGTTACTCATATGGCTCCATTCATAGAAGTCCAAACATGCCCTCTGTTTAAAAGGAAAAGGGCCATTCATTTATATAATACCATGGCTACTAAACAGATCAATTACATT